GCTCCCTTCCCGCCCTAGGGAAAGTGAGGGACGCCAGTACCTCTCCCGAAACCCTCCTCTGCTCACGTCCTGCTGGCTGTGTCGTCCTGCTGGCTGTGTCACCGCGGGTAACAGCCAGGAGTGGGTGTTTCCTGGATGGGGGCAAAGGAGGCCGAGGGGACGCTGTCGCCCGGGGGTGGGGGCTCCGGGCCCTGGAGAGTTGGATAGTCCCAGTAGACCCCATGGATCCAGAGCAAGGCGTTCGGGGTAGAGGGCCAGCAGGGCCCCCCGCAGGCTTTTAAGGCCCGGCAAGGATCCCTTCACTAGCTGGGTTGCTTTCTGAAAACCAGTGGATTTCTGGGTCAGCGCAAATCTCCCTAGTGAAGCCATGGCGGGTGGAGATTCCGCAGACTGCCATCCAGGGACTCGGGGTTCGGGGTTCGGATCCAGAGCTCACAGAGGCACTGGCGTGGACCTGGGCGGCGACGCCTCGTTCTTTCCGAGTTGCACTTCTTTGCTATTTGTTCCGGAGAATCAGTGTAAGATAATAAAAGAACAATCCGTTCACATATTCTGTTGAAGTGTTTTTCCCCCTCCTTCTCCCATCTCAACCTCCTGGCTGCACCGATCAAGTATAATCCAAGGGAGTTGTTTAATAACCGATGCCCTTTATTGACAAGTGGTCTGACACAAGAACAACATTCGTTTCAACCCGAGGCAGATGTGACTGCTGATGTAAGGGCAAGCCCAGGACACCCGCAGTCTCGCGGGGTCAAGCCAGGCACAGGTTCCAGGCACCGTGGCCAACCTATGACACCAGGGCCCGGAGCAATATCTCAGATTCAATCTTCGCTCTATTAGTAGGCATTTAATTAGATTTTTTTTTTTTACAACTCGAAAATGTATTTTAAACATGCTTTTATTTTCCTTAAAAAAATTGAAAACCAGCCGTGCCGTAAAACCAGATCGGGGGGTGTACTTTCTCCCCACCCCCCAACCCCCGCCCCGTAAGGTTTCAGTGTCGCGTTAGGACTGTCAGGCACCCATCTCCTAGGGTCACACAAACAGGGAACCCGAGGGAACCAAGCGGAGGCCCCCAGGTACCCCCGCTGGCAGAGAGGAGGCGCGGCAGCTCGGTGGGGACTGTGCGCACCCTAGGCCTGCGCGCCCCAAATGGGGGACACCCTTCAGCGCCTTGGTGTTCGGAAATGGGGTGGGCGGAGGACACAAATTTCATACTAGAAAAATTGCTTTCCTTTGGAGACACCTAGACGACGCGGGGTCTCGCTGCCCGTGGGGGTTTTGATGCGCCGAGGCCGAGGTTGGGATTTTGAAGAAGGTTCCCAGGGACTTTCAGGGCCGTGGAGATTTCGGCCCCGCGCTGCCCGGCCGTGCCGGAGCCGCCGGGTTGGAGGCCCCCTAAGCCCGAGCGTCTGGCCCAGCTGCACCGGGATCGGGCGCTAGCCGCTGGTAGCAGCCGTCTCCGCGGGCTCCGAGACGGCTCAGCCAGCCGAGGCCCAATCGGACTCTGGCCGGGCGCGTCCTTGGGCCGCAGGTCTGCGAGACACGCTTGGTTTGTGCCCCGCTTATACACTACCCCGGGCGTAGCTGCAGAGAGGGTGGGAGAAGGTGGCCTGATCCAGGGCCGCAACGGACCCTCGGGATTTTCCGCCGGGGCACCCCGCTTTAGCTTCCGCAAGATCCGCAAATGGGGACCAGAGCGCAAGCTTGGGAAACGAGGTTCACTCCAGCTGGAGCTGGGAAGCCCTTGGACCCCACTCTCCCCGCCTGGTGTCAGGAGGGATGTAGGCCCTCAGGCCGCCTACACATCCCCTTATCTTGCCCTTCCGTCCCCTCCCCAAGCTTGGATCGAGGGGCTAGGGCACCTGACGCCGCTGTGCGCGACCCATTATTCAATTTCTGAGTTTCTCGAGGACTTCAGTTTTCTATTTATAAATTGGGGAGGGAGGCGCAGCCAAGCCTCTCAGGTGCTGAGCCGGTCGAGTTGCCCCGCACGGCTCGCTCTCGGCAAAGCTCGCTCTCGGCCGGCGTGGCGCACCGGGAACCACCCGCCGCGCTGCATCGAGTGAGCGCCCGGCCCCAGCGTTCTCCACCGCTCCTTCTACAAGGTTGGGATCAGGCCGGGGCCTTGCTGGACCACGCCCGCTGCGGAGCATCCCAGGGCGAGTGAGCGCCCACTTGCAGCTTTCTCCCTTGATACCCGCGGTCCTCAGCTCCTGCGACTGGAATCAAGGCTCGGGGAGAACTAGTGCGACAAGTGCTTTGGGGCCGCGATGCTGCCTCTGGTTTATCTGTCTTGCATCTGTGAAGTGGGTGCGCATCCAAAGAAGCTGGTACTGTGGCCGGGAAAGGCTAACGGAAAGGAGAGGCAGTCCTCTCCCCGAGGGAGGTTAGGCCTTCAGTGGGGAGACATAGCAAAAACGGGCCCCTTGCAGGGACCTCTCAGGGTCTGTCTCATTTATCCCCCACCCAATACAGGCTCCGGGGAGCCTCCGTTGGATCCAGAAATTTAATAACCTTGGAGGATTCTGCCCCACCACCCTCTGGTGCCAGGTTCCGCGGCCGGCAGCGGCGACTTTCTGCCAGGAGCTGCCACACGAAGTTCTGCGAGAACCTGGCATGTTGGGAAGAAGGGATTAGGCATGAGTCGCCCTGGCACCGCTTCCTCCCTTTGCGGATGCCAGTAGCGACCTGGATCCCCTCGAGGGTGCTCAGCTCCCTGGCTCCCCGAGATCCCCTGCCCAGCCCGCGAGGCAGAGCGAGGCCTGCAAGCGCCGCGATGGTCCGGGGCACGCCAAGGCCTGAGGCTGCTGAGCACTGCAGCGAGACCCGATCTCAACTCCCGGCCGAGCGACGTTGGCGCCACGTAAGGCGTCAGAAAGGAAAGAGAAGACGTTTGTGTGTTACCAACGAGCCCAATAATCGAGGGTTACCCAGGCAGAGCCACTCCGGTGATTTAGGAAAGCGGATCCTCAGGCTATAAGGCGGAGCTACGGGACAGAACGGTGCAGGTGCAAAGCGTCCCGGAGGCCGCGTTCCCACCGGCTTGCCAGCGGAGAAAACAAAAGCGTTTTAGGAAAGCACTTTCAGAAGAGACCAAGTTCTGAGACGCCCCCAAGGGAGACTGAAAACCCCCAGAGGTGCAGATTTGGGGAGGTGACCGGAAAGATGGAGCCAGGGGAGCGGGTGGAGGAGGCCCTGTCCGCCACTGCTGCCAAGCGCCGACCATCCCGCAACCCCGCTTGCAACGAAGTCTCCCCAGGCCCTGGAGGCCACAGGTGGCCGGGAGGGACACGGTGGGGCCGAGGCGGGCGGGGATTCTGGGATCTTCCCCGAAAAGTGAGGAGGCTCGGTGGTGCTCCTGGGAGCCCAGGTCGGCCCCCGCCGTAGGGAGGAAAGAGGAAGGGAGAAAGGAAAGGAAAAGAGACCAAGAGAGCAGCCAGGAGAGATTTTGAGGGATGAGGAAGCGAAGATAAAAAGGACAAAAAGCGTGATGGAACGGGGCGAGATAGAGAAATCGACGGGGGTGGGGATGGGGAGAGTCAAATAAGAAGGAAAACAAGAGCCGGTCAAGGGAGGGATTCAGAAATTAGAGACCAAGAAGACGAGCTACTAAACATCAAGCTTATGGAAAAAGAAAAGGAACACTCCGACCAGAAAAGGAGAAAATGGAGAACGCGAAGGAAGAAATGGGGAGGCCGGCCGGGAAAGAGATTAATTCAAGGACAGAAAGGCAGCACGATAAAAGGGGAACCCAAAGGGCACAAGGAAATGTTCACGGACACTCCAGTGCTTGTTTGTAGGGGCAACACTTGCCATCCCACAACCCCGCAACTTCCAAGTCCCGCCGAGCCACGGGTCAGGCCGGGTGGACCCGGTCACTGTCAGGCCAAATCGCGGCCTAAGGTTCTGCGCGCCCCGAGCGCCCCGCCCCTCCTGGCCAGTGACGTCACACGACGTCATGCTCCACCTGGGGTCCCAAGCAAACCAGAGAGGGAGTCCAGGGGTCGCGCTTTGCGCTTGGCTCCCACCCCCACCCCGGCGTCCACAGACCTAGAGGTGCAGCGGCTCTACGCGCGCGCACGATCCTGGGTCTCTTATTGGAGACCTGGGTCCCCGGGGCGTGGAGCGATCCTCGTTCTGGCTCCTGCTCTCACCCTCCCAGGTGCACCTGACCTGGCCTGGCGCTCCCCAGCACTGGTCACACTGGAAGCGGCCTTCAGGCCTACAGCGCCTTCCATCCGCGTGGCGCGGGCACGCAGATTGCGGGCAGCCGACACGAACTGACCTGCACCGCGCATCCTCCGCGGGGCCCCCGGGCCGGGGTTGGAGCTGAGCCGAACGGCGACAGAACCGTGGAGCTGTGCACCCGCTCCCGCGCGCCGGCCGCTCGCTCGCTCGCTCGCATGTTGGGCTGCTTATACTGCCGCAGGGGTTGGGGCGCAGGGCCTCGGTCGACGAGCAGTATTGAAACGAAAACGAAATAAAAGTGGCGTTAAGTGAAATAGCTAACTTTTTTTTATTAAATAAAACGACTTAAATAAAAGGAACGGAAAAAGGAGAGGAGTGGACTCAGCCCGAACGCAGGCGCTTCCCCCTCCAGCCACCGGGTGGGCCGCCCCCTCCTCCATCGGTCCCCCCTTCACCCCGCGAAGGGAAGCAGGGGGGCCGGTTTCTAAAGAAAAAAAAAAGCCAAAACTTTTTCTTTATTATTATTTACACGTTTGGGCAAAAGTACAAAGTATAATACAGGCGCCCAGCCCGAAGGGGGTAGTGCGGGCGGGGGGCTGAGAAACGTAAGGCGCTTTCTTTGTCAGGCCCGGGCCTGGGGGCGTCGGGGCGCGGGGCGCGGGGCTCGGATTGTGCAGCCGCGCGTGGAGCCCGGGCCCAGCTTCCCTCCGCGGCCCGGCCGGCCGGCCGGTTTGCTGCCGCGCTCGGGGGGCCCTCCTGCAGCTTGGCGGCCGCTTCTTCCCGTCTCGGCTCGCCGGTGGCCGACCCACCCCATCCCCCCCTTCCCACCTCCCCCAGCCCGGCTGGGGTAGGGGTCCGGGGCGCCCCGGAGAAGGGGGACGTCGGTGATCCGCTGCGACGGTGCGCGCGCCAGTGGCTCACACCAGCGAGGTGACGGCGGGGACCTTGGAACTATCCTCCTCCCAGGGCTGCAGATTCTGCAGCGCGAAGAGCGACGAGTTGTGCAGACAGAGCGGGTCGGGCTGGATGGAGTCGTTGAGGCTCTTTTGGAAGGCGTCGTGTTGCAGCTGCAGCATGAGCCGGCTCGCCTGCTGCCGCTCCGCCTCCCGCTCCTCCGCCGTCTGCCGCCTGCACCAAGGGAGGGAGAGGGACAGCTCCGTCAAGCACCCGGCGCTGCGGGGGCCCTTGTCCTCCCCGGAACACTCCCCACCCCACCGCAGCCGCCACGCCACCCCACCCCCGGCCGGCGCCTCCGCCCAGTGGGCCGCGACCAGCTGTTTTTTGTTGTGCACGCGGGGGTCGCCGGAGGGGAACTCTGCCCGCCTGTGCACCTGCACTCCCGGATCCCGTGACTTCGCCAACAATAAAGATTGTTTCTGGTGCGCGGGGTAACAAGGGCAGGGCATGTTTATAAGGCCTTAGGCCATGCGGGCAAAGTGGCGGGGGGGGGGGCGCAGGGATGGCGCGGCAACCCTGCCAGGCGCCCGCAGGCCCGGCCCTACCTCGAACCCTCCTACAGGACGCGATCTCTTCGCCGTTTACGGGTTAGATGCAAACGGGAGAGCAGATAAAAACGGGGCAAGGAGCGAATGGGACAAGGAACCTGCACGTAGGGCGGGCTAGGCCAAGGGAGGGAGGAGGTGGTCCTGGGGGAGGGTTGAGAAGGGGGAGGTGGAGGGGGGCAGGTGAGTGGAAATCGAGCGAGCACAGGAGACAAAACAGCAAGAGTTGGAGGGGTCACTGGGGCTGGGAGCCTGGAGGTGAAAGCTAAGCGTTTGAGATGTGGGGAGGGAAGATCCAGGCGTGCACCCTGGAAAAGCGGAGATAAAATCCCGGAAAGGGTACGGCGCGAGGAGGGGGCCTTCCCCGCACAGGGGTGGAGAGCGCGCGGGGCGGGGCGGGGCAGGTGCTGGGCAGGTGCCAGGTGGGCTGGGCCGGGCCTCTCTCACCGCCACTTGGTCCTCCGGTTTTGGAACCAGGTCTTGACCTGCGCGTCTGTCATTTTGAGAGACTTGGCGAGTGCCGCCCTCTCGGCCGAGGCTAGGTATTTCTGGCGGTGGAAGCGCTTTTCCAGCTCGCAAATCTGCACCCGGGAAAAGGACGTGCGCGGCTTCTTACGCTTGGGTGGCGTCCGGTTCTGATAGGGGTGGCCGATGCGCCGGGTCACGGTGAAGGGCGTGAGCGCGGCCGCCGCTGCGGAGACACGCCAAGTCCCTTCAAGCCCTCCGTTCCGGCCCCTTGTGGACGCAGTGGCCCCCCGTGGGGGGAGGACACAGAGTCGTCGCTGTTCCTCTGGTCGCGCGCGTCCCCAGTGGCAGCGGCGGGTCGGGAGACGCCCCGCGCCCCCTTTCTCTTTCTCCCTCCCCCGGACATCGGCTTATCCCCCCCCCCCCATCCTGCAATTCACCGCTTCCCTCCCTTCTAAGTCGGCCTGGGGACCAGGGCGCCGAGGCCTCCGCCCTTGTGCTTGGGCCTCCGGCTTCGTTTCCAGGGGGTGGAGCGCACAGGGCGCGGCGCCCTTGGCACCCGGGAGGGCTGAGGCCTGGCGCCTGCCGGCCGGCTCGGCTCACCTGTGAAGCGGTCTTTCACGAAACGGCGGCTGCTCTCCATCCAGGGGAAGTTGAGGCCGCCCAGGCTGGAGACCGTGGGCACGGAGGGCATGGCGGGCAGCGCGCTTGGGAGAGGCGGCGGCACGGCCCCTGGCAGAGGCCTGTGCGCTGGCACCCGGATCACGCCGGCGGGAGCCAGGCTTAGATTGACACTATAAGATCCCGCGTCCTCGAAGGGCGCGCCGAGGCCCGCAAAGGAGGCGGGCAGCGACGGGTACGTGGCGCCCGGACGGCCCCCGGGGGGCCCTCCCAGGTAGCTGGCGCCGTCGGGGCCCCGCGGGGCGGGCGCGCTGTCCTGGTCCGGGCTGTTGAGGATCTGGTCGATGCCGAAGCTGATGGGCTCGTGCGGGTGCGGGGTCTGCGCGCTGGCGGGCGCCTCCATCCTGGGTGGGCGGAAGGGCTGGGCTGGGCTGGGCGGGGAGGCGGCTGGGTCCCCGTTACGGCGCGGCCATGGAGCGCCCGGCGCCTCTCGTCGCACTGAAACTTTGCCAAGAGTGCGCGGGCCCGACAGGCTCTGTGTCATCTTTCTTGAACCGAACCTGGAGTTTCCGCTGCTAATTCCTCTCCCGCCGCAGCCATTGGCTGCGATCAACAAGCCTCTCTCCTCTCATTGGCTCCTGGCTTTCAATAAAGGCCTAATTCATGGAAATAGGAGCTTAGGGACTGTTCCAAGGTGACATCATTTTAACAAACGAACAATAGGTCAAATTTATTAGCCGGGATAATGGGCGGCGGATATTAGCGCCCGAACCGCAGCCTCCCAAACCCAAAATCTAACGAAGCTGCAATTAGCAGACGCTCCCCGCTCCTCCCGGCCCGGGCCGCTTCCCCGCCGCCGCCGCGGGGCCAGCGGGACGCTTGGCGGGCGCGATTGGCTTTTGCCAAGGGGGGGGGGCTTTCGTTATCTTCCAAAATTTTTCACCCGAGCGCAAACAGAACTAAATGAATCTTTTCCAAGACGCCGGAGCTGCAGCCCCGGAACGACCCTGCGGAGCCAGCCGAAGCCTCTTGGAGACTACGGCCCAAGGAGCAACGAATCGGGCGCACCCTGGGGCGCAGGCTCCGCGCCCCTCGCGCTCCGGGTGAGGGGGAGCGCGGTAGCGTTCGGCGCGCTCCGGAGGACACCGACCAGCGTGGGGAGAATTTGCAGGTCTCACGCTTCGGCCGCGGCGTCGTGGCCACTTTGCAGACGCTCCCTGGTGCGGGGCGGGCTGCCTCTTGCGCGGTTCACAGGTGCCCACGCGTGCCTGGCTAGCCCGGCAGGGGACCCCGGGTCGCCCCGCGGGCGACGGGAATGCGGCCCCTAGAAATTCGTTGCAAAAACGATCGGGGCAGTGGTCGCGTCGCGCTCGCGCTCACGAGCGCGTATGTGTATGTGTGTGTAGGGGTGTGTTCTCCTGAGGTTTGGGTTGGTCTGAGAACCTCGGATGGCGAGGTGGCAAAGGCCTGGAGTGGCGATACCTGCTGGGAACAAATGGAGGGATTTTTTTTTCTTTTGCGGGGGTGGGGGAACCATGAGCAGGGAGCCCCTCCTGGTCCTAGTCCTGCCTGGGCGTTTCGTGCCCTCGGAGACTGCCCACACGAACCAGAGCGCGGTGCACAGGGCGCACGCGGAGCTGTCATCCTGGGCTTCCCTCCGAGCTGGTTTTGAAGTCATTTTATGTGGCGATTGTGAGGACTGTCACCCTGACCCGGGCCTGTCTGCAGCGGGCAGTGGTGGAAGCTGCGCGATGTGCTGTTGTTGGCCACAAGTGTGTTCACGTTTGGGCCAGTCGCTTCCTGGCCGACTGAGTGACCTTGAGCGAGTGACTGAACATCTTTAGACTTTGGTTTTATTCTTTGAAAAAAAAAAAAAAGGGCGGGGAGGGGTGAGGGGGAAGCCATGCGTGTCCGGGAGCCCGGCTGGACGAGTGCTAGGCTGTGGGGCTCCATTCTGCAACCCTGCACCCCTATTCCCCAATGACTAGGGGTGCTTGATGTGTTTTTTTGGTTTTGGCTCTTGTGGACTTCGTTTGCAGTTGTATCTTATCGGCAGAAGTTAGGGGTCTGGGAGTGAGTTTCAGAGGGCAGGGAAGGGCAAGAAGCATTGCTTTCACCCATCCGGAGGCCTCAGGATTTGGGGGGCAAGAACCCCGCCCTCCTACCAGCCCGTGGGAAACTCTGTGCTGAGTGGGGAGGGTGAGGCTTGGGGTGAGAAGTGGTGGCAAGGGGAGCAAGCACTTGCTCACTGCCTTCCAGGCCAGGGAGGCCCGTCAGCTGGGGGCAGATGCCACCTCTCTGGCTCTGGGCACTCTCTTGCCTTCTAATTCAGGCTCTGCCAACCACCTTTGGGTCTCTGCCGGCCTCTCCAGCAGCCTACTTCTCCCTTTTTGTGAAAGCAGGAAGGGCAATTGTTACCCCCAGGGTGGCCGTGAGCGCTAAATGAGATAACATCTGTGGAAGTGGCAGCGAGACACTTGGGCGATTATGTAATAATAACTTTAATGGTTCCTGTGGCTGAGAACTTGGTGCCTATGCCAGGCAGGGGAGCTGGGCACTGACTTCCCTGGAAGCAGGTGAGAAAAGCGAGAGAAGGGCTTAGGCTGGAGAGCGACCTGCGAGTTCCAGTGAGCTCCACTGTCCCTAGCTCCATGTCCCTTTCGACTCCTCCACGCCTGCCCTTGTTGCAAGGCCCATCATTAGGCGGTGTAGGTGCTGCTGGAGACCTTGTTTGCTTCCTCAGCTTACCCACTGTGGACCGGCAATGGTCCAACTCTGTGCTTGCATTTGCTTGTCTAAGAAAAGACACAGCATCTCTCTGGTGGGATGAAAGCAGTTCACCAGTCTCCACCAGGGCCAAGGCTTGACTTCCTGGGCTCCCTTCCTCCTGGGGGGTGGGTGGAGGATTGCTGAAGTGGGGAGGGGGATGCACAGCTTTGCCCCTCCCCTCAGGGTCACAAGCTCTTAGGGGGACCCTGATTCTCAGAATGTGTCCTTAGCTGTAGCAGCATCGCCTGGGAGTTTGTTAGAAATGCAAGTTCTTGGACCCAGTCCATTGCTGCTGAATGAGACCCTCCGGGCTGCGGCCTGGTGAGCTAACGCAGGCTCCAGTCTGGAAGTCAGGGGCCAGAGCCTCACCCCGTCCCCAGGTTCACGGGCTGACTGATGCAGCACGGAAGCACGGGGCTCTCAGGGGTCTGTGCTGCCCCCTGTGCTGGCCAGCCGGCTGTCTCCTCTTGATCCTTCTTGCCTGAATGTTGTCTGGGCTATTGGTCTTTTCAGAAAATCTTCAATTTAATAGTATTCTTTTCTTTTTTTAATGTCCTCTTTCATGAATGTTTCAGCTTTGTTTTTAACAATTTTTTCTTTGGGGAATGGAAAACTTAGTTCATTTTATCAGTATCTTCCTTTTTAAAAATGAACTAAGTTTTTGCATTCCTCAAAGAAAGAGTTATTCAGGTTCCTTTTTAAAAATGAATGCATTCAGGGTCATACGTTTTCTTGTGAGTACTGTTTTGGCCAAATATATATATATATATAATATATATATATATAAATATATATATTTATTTATCTGGTGTTTTTGAGAAGATATAATTTTTTGGCTGCCCCTTTTTAGCTGCTACTGATTGAACAATGACATTCATCTACATGCAGTCATATGCACATGCATTAAAAGAAAACTAGATTAGAAAATGTGAAATCGAATAGGGGTTGGTGCTGTGGCATAGTGGGTTAAGCCTCTGTCTGTGGCACTGGCATCCCATATGGGTGTCAGTTCAAGTCTTGCTGCTACATACCAGATCCAGTTTCCTGCTAATGAACCTGGGAAAGCAGTGGGGGACGGCCCAAGATCTTGAAGAGCTGTACCTTGTGTAACTCCCTGGCTCCTGGCTTAGGACTAGCTCAGCTCTAGCCTTTGCCATTTGGGTATTGCACCTGCACATGGAAGATCTTGCTCTCTGCCTCATTCTTGCTACCTGTAAAATCTTTGCCTTTCAAATAAATATAAATAAAATAAACTCTTAAAAAAAAAAGGAAACAGAGAAATCTAAGAACTGGGGCTGGGATTCTAGGGGCAATAGGAATTTCCTGGATTTGTACACCCTCTATCCTTCCGTGCGGGGGGCATGGGAGGATCTGGAGAGAGGGTGGTGGGGGATTGGGTGAGGGGGTGCATGCTGGGAGCCTGAGGTGAGGAGAGGCCAGGTGCTGGAGATGCCAGCTGGTTCAACAGCTCCTTCTGCCCTTGACTTCCTGTGTGTTTTGGGAATTTTAGTTTGCCTGCGTTGTAAAAACAGGATAGAGACTGAACCAGGACACCTGACTAAATTGAGGTGAGTGACCCTGTTTGAAAGACTAAGGGGAATGTTATAGTTTACCTCCACAGAAAAAGGCAAGTACCTGCCTGGTGCTTGCCCCCCGCCCCATGCCTGGCTGCCGACCTGCCCATGCCATTCTCAGTTCACACACCCTACTTGGGACTCTCCGGGAGCCCTTCTAATTCTTCCAGTGGAAGGCTCTGAAGATATCCACTCACATTTCTTTAACCACCCTTTAATTTATTTGATATATATTTATTTCACACCTACTCAGATTTCCTGGCCCTCCCTTCCCCCCAGTTCTGGGGTGACATGTACTGGGGAGTGAAGTGGTTCCCTATCTCCCCCATGTGGATAGCTGAAAGGGTCTAGGACCCTGCCAGCTGGAGGAAGGACAAGGCCAGCGGGTACTGGATGCCCCTGGGATCCCCCACTAGGGGGACAGTTGGCTTAGAGAGGTGAAGTCCCCCAGTCGGAGGGCATGCAGCTGGGGAGGTGTGGAGCTGGGATTTGAACCTGGGGCTTCTCAGTCCCAGCCCCGAGAGGGCGGGGGAGGACTATAGAGGAGGATCTGGGTGAAGGAGGCTAGGAGTGGGCAGAGGACCAGCCCTGCTGGGGCTTGCTTGGTCTCTCCTGTTCGCCTGGGGGCTTCTGGAAACCAGAATGGTGGTGTTGGCAGCACTTGATTCCATGCCTTGGGGCCTGCCTGGCCCCACCTGCTGGAGATGGTGTGAGGTTGAAAGAAGGCTGAGGCAGATGGGGTCAGAATTGGGTCCAGGGATTCATGGCGTTGAATGCAGTATGTACCTTCCACAGCTGTTTCTGTTTCCTTTGACTTTTTAAAACAAAAAGCTTCTAAAGATGCATTTATTTGAAATACACACACACACACACACACACACACACACACGCTTGCACACACAGAGAATATTTTCCATTGACTGGTTCACTCCCCAAATGGCTGTTATGGTCATATCTTGGCTGGTCCAAAGCTAGTACCCAGGAACTTCCTCTGAGTCTTCCACACTTGGGCCAGCCTCTGCTAGTGCAGGGAGCTGGACCGGAAGTGGAGCCGTCAGAATACTGATGGGCGCCTATGTGGGATACTCCTGGTGGCCTTACCGTTTTCACCCCCAGGCCAGTCCTGTGCTGCCTGTGGCCCTGCATCCTGTGGGACCGAGCCAGCTTCTCCCCTCTGCTCATCACCTGAGGCAGCAACACCCCTTGTCCCCTTCCGCCTCCCCCCCCCCCCCCCCCGTTTCTTTCTTTCACAGTCTTTGAAACCCCATCTTGGCTTTCCTGCTGACTAGACCCATTGAGGGCAAAGGTTGTCTCCTTCATGGTTCCTCTGTGGTGAGTGAATGAATGCGTCAATGAAGGAGTTCAGGCACCTGGGGTTGGCTGAGACCCAGCCTTTGACTTTGACCGGACCCTGGCATGGCAGGGAGGCAGGCAACACAACAAGGAAGTTCACCACAGAGACTGTGGGTTACAGGGAACAAGACAGAGGGGAGGGAGGGGGAGGCGTGCTGGTGGAGACCTCCGAGGGCTGCGGAGGCATTGGCCCTGTGCAGGTGGCAGCATGTGCAAGGGTGCAGGGATGCAGGGGTGCAGGGGTGCAGGGTTGGGCTCAGGGGTGCAGGGTTGGGCTCGGGCCTGCAGGTTCAGGCGAGCAAGGGCAGGGGATGCGGGACCTCCAAGCCCAAGGTCACAGCTTGGTGGGTTTGTTTCCCTCCCACCAGCCACTTTTCCCATTTGTGCCGTACAACTTGCCTCCCTTCCTGACGGATGTCTCCACTAAATTTGACTTCGTTTCGACACTTTTGTTGGGCAAATTACATTAAGATGGATGTTGCAGGTATCCTTTATGGTTTATTTATCATGATACTGTTTGTATCTCACGCTTATAAATAACTTATGTTATAGCTTTTGTTTGTGGAAATGTAACTTACATATTTTATTACGCTTTCTGTAAACCTCAAAAAGAATCTTGTCAAGGAAGCACTCTTATCAGCAATCCAAACCATGGGACGTAAAACCCAACACAAACATTATTTTTTAATATGCCAAGGAGGCAGGTTACTCTTGCTGCTGTTTGAAAGGTTTGCTGTCATCGTAAACTTGTACCTCAATAAAACATTAAAAAGTCTCAGGAATGATCTTGTCAAGTTCAGCAAGGAGGATGAAGTGGTGGCAGAACCCACAGACACAACTCGCAGAGGGCCTGGGACCGTGGTGGCCTTTCTCTGTGAGAACCTAGTCACATCCGGAAAACCCGGAGGATGTTCTGTCCACTTTCTCCTTCCAAGTGTCCCCAGAGCCGAGCTGTGAGCTCCCGGGCTCAAAGGAGACGGACAGATCCACCTCAGAGTCCTGGTTGGTCCACTTTTTCTTTGGTGCAGACTTTTTAATCTTTACATGTAAAGGAAAGGGAGACATCCATCAATGCATTCCCCGCCTGCCCACAATGCCTGTCCTTGGGATGAAGCCGGGAGCCACGACCTCTCTCCAGGGCTCTCCAGGGCTGGCAGGAATCCAAGGATGTGCACCATCAGTGTCTGTTGTCTCCCGAGGGTCCACAGCAGCAGGAGTCAGGAACCACAGCTGGGAGCTAACAACAGCTGTGCTACCCTGACTGGGGATGCAGATGTTTTAGCCACTAGGGACCAAACATGATTTTCTCATCTCTAAAATGGGTACGGTACTATGTGACATTCTTATTGGGAAGCAGTGTATGCGGCTGCACTTTGCAACACTAAGCAGGTGCTCAAATCACGACAGTGCTCAGCATCTTCTGTTTGTCTTGAATCTCTTGCCTCCCTAGGTCAGGGGTGGGGATTTGTTTTTGTAAGAGCCATTTGGATATTGATAGCATCATCTGAGGGCCACACAACATCAACAACTTAAAAATTAGCCTGTTATATTTTTATTGGATTTTAAGTCCTGGGGGTAGGGCATAGGATTTTTGCAGGCCTTGTAAGGCTCACGGGCCAGATGTATACATCTCCCCACCCCTAGGTACTTCTTTCCTCCTAAGAAGCTAGGTTCTTACATGCTCTTTCCCCTAAACTGTTGGACTAGCTCCCCGTTTAGATAAAGTTCCCACAAGGCTGAATGATCCTGGAGAAACCCAGGATGGAAGGTACAGGAACACCAAACGTGGTGGACACGGCATGCAGCTTTTCTTTTTTTTAAAGATTAATTTTTTTATTATTATTATTATTTTTAATTGGAAAGGCGGATATATAGAGAGGAGAGACAGAGGAAGATCTTCCGTCCGATGATTCACTCCCCAAGTGAGCGCAACGGCCGATGCTATGCCAATCCGAAGCCAGGAGCCTCTTCTGGGTCTCCCACACGGGTGCAGGGTCCCAAAGCTTTGGGCCGTCCTCGACTGCTTTCCTGGGCCACAGGCAGGGAGCTGGAAGGGAAGCGGGGCTGCCGGGATAGAACCGGCACCCTTATGGGATCCTGGGCGTGCAAGGCGAGGACCTTAACCACTTGCACCACCGCACCGGGCAGCTTTTCATGGGTGAGGTTCTGACACTGGTGCGGAGGGCAACCTCAAAGCCTTCAGAGGGTTCCCTGCTTGAGCGTGGGCCGAAGCAGCTAATGTGGCCCATGTGGTTTCTGGGTGATGTCTGCTTGTGTTCCAGAATCCCATCTGAAGACTGAGATGTGCAGACAGGCCCGTGTGGGTTTGTTAGGTGGCAGGCACTGTGGAATTGCCAGAGCTTTGTTGATTTTTATCCTCTTGCTGAACTAACTTAGGTATGCCTGCGACTAGATTGGGTTCTGTGATAGTTGTACTAGCGGCCTTCTGTGAGGCACACCTGCGTTGGTCTCTGGTATATAACATCTCTACAGAGACCCCTCCCACCTGCAGCGCAGGTCTCTTTCTCCAAAGCCGCCACCGCCCCTTACCCAGGCCAACTCTGTGAGGGTAGGGGTGGTGGAAGGGACACCAGTGCCCAGTCAGGATCTTGTTGTGGCAACTGTGCAGTATCCTGTGATTCTTTGCCATCCCCATTTCCCCAATCTCATTTTCCTCCATTCCAGGAGGGCTCAAAAGGGAACTTGGCCCTTTTAGGAAATAGCAGTATTCCCTTCCTGGCTTCAATGGAGAAACCTGTAGAGCAAAGTTAGCCATGCCCCAGCAGAGGTCAGAGGACAGAGCTGTGGTTGACAGCTTTGCAAAGGGCTCTCAGGGTTCCTGGCATCCACTTAATCTCTGGGCTCTCTTAGTGGTGTCCCTCCAATGAGCGGAATAGGGTGAGAGTGGCAGGAGATGGCCCCCCAGCTCTCGTGGCTTCCAGCCTGCCTCTAATGGAGCAAGATGCCACACTGTGAGCTGCCCTGTAAAGAAGGCAAGACACGCGACAAGGAACCAGGGCCACATTCCCTGAGAAACTGAATCCTGCTAATAACCATGTGTGAGCTCGGATGCAAGGCCTGCCTTCCCCAGGCAAGCCTTGGAATGATCCCACAACCCTGTCTGCTGCCTGTGAGACTCTGAACTTGGGACCTTGAGAGACCCAGGAGATAGTGTTGTTTGAGGCCATTGAATTTTGGGGTCATCTGTTATGTAGTGAGAGTTTCGAAAAACACACGAAAATGGATGCAAACAGTGACTGGTTTCAACCCGTGATTCTGAACCTTAGGATAGAGCTGGGTTCTGATCCTGCCTATGTGACTTGAGTAAGGTTAACACCGTCTCTGCATCATGGCCTCCTCATCAGCCCAGTGGGACTCATGCTGTTGGGAGGATGGAGAGATTCACGCACGGAGCACGTCAGACAACTCAACAGCATCTGCCGAGCCCGGCTCTGGCCTGTACTCCTGCCTCGTGGAACAAGGTCTGCAGAAGTGAGAGGGGGGCTGGCCTGACCCGGCCTCCTCTGAGAAGTAGCAGCCTAGGGTTGCTGGGTAGGTGTGGAAGCGCCGAGTGACCGACAGCAGCATCTCAGAGAAACGAGTGCACATCGTCATTTCCGCATGAACATCTTAATGCAAACAATACAGCGCTTTTAGATCCCAGACATGGGGAGGGGAACCCGTGCCCGCCTGGTGGAAAGGATGCGTTTTGAGAGATCTTCATTAAACTTCTGCAACAGCTGCTGTTTTACAGAATTTAGAATCTGCCCTCACAAGACAAACTGTATTCCTCATTGTGAATGAAAGTATCAGGCTTGTTTATTTTTGAACGTTGAGATCCCATTCGCAACCCATTCGTGATCCAGTTATTTCACACACGGAAGAGCACCATTCCTACACCACCCAGGGTGCCTGTGTTCTTCTAGCTGCAGAAGTCAACCAGCAAGAGAGGTTTCAAGACAACACCAGGCTGAGAAATGAACTTATCGCAGGCAGAGCCTGCTGTTCCAAGTCAGGCCAACCTTTCATGTCTGATGAAAAACAAAGTGTATGATATTTATTGTAAGTCTGAACCAAGAAGGCAGAGCACCTGCTGTAAAAGGCATGTGACAGCGGCAGTCTGGAAGTACAGCCTAGTGCCAGTGCTTCTCAAACTTCACAGACTCTCTCCATGTCCAGGGTGGAATGGGAGGGGGTGAGGTCACAGTCCCCACAGCAGCATAAGAGTTACTGTGGTGAAGTAGAACGCGGTTGTTTCTGACTTAGTACCTGGCACTGATTTGGGGAGCCTAAGAAGAAAGAGCTGCTTCAAATACTGTGCTTTAAAGTTGTCATCACGTTCTCTTAAAAATTAGATGGCCGCAGGAAGACTGGGTGCTGGCACTACCCAGAACATCTTACTGGTGCTTCAGGGGTCTGAAGAAATCTCTCCGCAGGCAGTAATTGCACAGCTTAATTCTTCTAGACTGAACCACTTCAGATTTATGCCAGTGAAACGCAAACGTTGTTTGTAAGTCATTTAATTGTGTTAGTGTCTCTCAACTTTATCAGATGCTGCGGAGACAGAGAGGCCTGCGTGTGGTCCTGGGGGAGGTTCTGTGGTGCTTCCACGCTCCTTCTACTTGCCCACAGCCCAGGGTCCCGGACACTGCTGCTGCCCCACTCAAAACCCACGGCCGATGTAACAGGTTCAGCTGGCATTTGTCTTAATCCAGGACTCGTGTTGAAGGCTGCCTCTCCAACAGACTGACAACCCTCATTACAGCCCCAAGTAACTAGTGCACACTTGGGCACAAACCCAGTTTATTATATTCTTTGGTTAAATATTGTTTTGCCATCTTCTCAGAGCTTTTTGGGAACAAAGGTAATGATATCTGGTAGAAAGACTGAAAACATGTGCTATACTTTTTCAGAACAAAGATTGAATTTACATTGTGCACTATTATACACTCTTATAATTAGGCCAGACTTATAAAAAAGATAGGGCTTTTGTTGTTATTCGTCTTTGAAAAATAGATTTCCCTGGGCTAGCCAACCCCGCTGTCCTGGGACCTGGACCATCAAGAGTCTCTGGATAAAGGCTGCTTGGCTTGTGGTGGGAGAAGTTGGGTCAGCTCATCATGTCCAGACTGCAGGCTTCAGTGCTGCCGTCGCAGCGCAGGGCCTCGGCCACGTCTCTTCTGAAGACAGAGAGGTTCTGGGTGAACCTGCGGAGACAGAAGGGAAGTGTCCAGGGTCACAGTGAGCGCCATCTGGTGCGAAGCTCTGGACGCCATGGCCCCTGAGGCGTTCAGGACCTTGGAGAGCACCTCCTCCCAGGGGACCGCTGACCGCTCTAGCTGGCACCGTTGCTTCCTTCCCACCTTCGCTCCCCAGAAAATCAGGAATGCCACCAATGCCATCATGCCAACTTTGAGAGGTACATTTTGCAGTTCTGATATTTAAAATATTTTTTAAAGTCCAATTAGCATAAATGGTAAGAAACAAAGAGCTAAGGTTTATGTGCCAAGCACTGGATTCAGTTTATATAGTAACTCATTTATCATTACAAGTGTCCCCTAAAGACAGTATTCTCACCCTCATTTGCTAAGAGAAGCTTCAGTAGCTGGAAGGGAATGGATGCTGGGATCCCTTCCCTCCCTCTTGTTAGCGAGGTGACCTTGGATGAACATTCACCCCCTTTCTTGGTGCCTTACATGAGGCAAAGGACTACAGAAAGTGAGCATCAGCTGAGTCATGCCTGGGAGGACCCACCAGGGCCTGGCACAAGAAAACCAGCAGTCCTTGTTGGCTGCTGCTCTTGTTAAGCCGGAAGGGCTGCCTGATGCCATGTCAGGGGGCGGCACTGAGCCTTCTGAGCCTCAGAAGAAGCAATTTCCCCTCTGAGGCACCCATTCTTTAAATCTCTCCTGCAGGCTTCTGAGGTTGCCCCTTTTTGCCAAAGGTGGAGTGAAACAAGAGAACCTATCTTCATGTCCGACGGTGTTGCATTACTAAAACCCAGTTTGGCAACTGGGATGACTGATGCTTTGCATTGCCAGTGGTGCAGCAATTGAATGCGACCACATTTATCAGAGGATGAGGTAGGCAGTTTTATGCTGGAACTTGTTTCCCTTCTGAAGGCTTGTTCATGAAGGCTTCCTGAAGGCTTGTGTCCTCTATTAGAATGTACACTACATGAGGGCAAGCAGCCTTCAACAATCAGTTTGTCACCAGTACCTCGATGCCAGCGCAGAAGCTATACGAATCAAATGAATACCTGAAGTCAGGGCCTAGCTGAGAAGTCAGGGGTCCTCACATATGGATCCTACTGGCAACTGCAATATTAAAGTGTATGTACAGGAAGTAATGAACACTCAGTATGGGTCATTTGCCCCAGATACCATGCCTTCCTTCATTCTGTCAATTAAACCCTCACAAGCAGTTACCATCATCTCCACTTTAACACTGGAGCTAACTACCTTAGGGCCACACAAGGTGGGCAGAGAGTACACCAGGTCTGTCCGTCTGTAGACAGGCCATGGCTTTCCTTCTTTTGCTTCTTTTTGTTAGTTTTCTCTTCTGCTGGAATATAAACTACATCAAGGCAAAGACTACACTGTAGTGATCTCTGCATTCATAGATAGTGCCTCACGTCTTGTCTGGAACAAAGTAAACACCCAGGGATATTCACTTGATGCAACTGATTTGAGTTCAGGGTCATAAGATGCAGGTCATGGTAAAGTTACATTAGCGTGTGAGCTGTGTTCAGCAATGATTCAGTTATTTTCAACAAACCCTGCCAAATCCACCACCCCAGAGATGCCCTCCTGGGCAATGCCTACCTGTCTCTGTTCTTGATGGACAAGTTCTGCTCCACTCCTTCCATCAAATTCTGGAAACACTGGGCAAGGACCTCCTGCTTGGGGAGTGACTGGCTGCTTATCAGACTTGCTCTCAGTTCACTGAAATACTGTTGGGAGACAGAAGGCATCAGCGCGCTGACTCCAAACCTGGCCCAAAGAAAGTCAGGTCAGCTCTGAGTGACTTGGTAATGCTTGGGACAATTTTTGTCCCGATCCACTTGGACCTATAAGCAGTTAGAGCAAAGCCTAAGCAATAGACACATTTCTGAGTATAAATTGTATTACCTTTCTCATGGAAACCTCTTGCTGTCACTGTTCTATTGTCATTGTTTGGGCTGACAGAGTTTTCACCTCCTCCGGAGGGAAGCCCACCCGCCCCACTTCTGGAACACATGGTCTTCCCGACTCACCTCCCCTAACCACAGCAAGGCCGAAAGAGGAAGGGCCTTACAGATGAAGATGATGAACTTAACAGAAAACATCCAGGGCGCCCCGTGGGTGACAGAAAGCAAAGCCTGGGGTCTCACGCATGCCTCATCGTCTTTCCTGGTTTTGGCGAACCAGGCTGCAGACAGCTCTGGCTTGCTTCCAAGTCTCTGTCTTCATGGGGTAGAATGGGTCTGCTCTGCTGAGGTGGGTGCTGGAGAGGCTCATTTAGTTCTGGCGAAGCTTTTTGGCATCTGGGAAATCATCTGTTACGCCTGGTCACAAACCGCAAGGCCCTTTCTGCCCTGTGGGCTTCGGTACATACCTAGCTCCCCTGCTACACATGGCTCCTCATCACGGCAAAATGCCTAATTTTAGCACAAAGACAGTATTTTGCCAGTCTCATGTTTATCCTTCCAAGCCCAAACAGCATGATATTTAATTTCCATCATGCATTAAAACAGCTCACATCAAAAAACACACATAATTAATATGTAGTCAGACTAATACTTAACTACTATATATCAGAGGCATTATACTTAAACCACAATGTCTTCCTGAACAAGATTGGGAATGCACAAAACTACTTATTTTTCCCTTTTATAATGATGCAGTGACTCACACCAAATAGAAAATTATTAGTTTTTCATCCCAAACCATGAAATATTGCCTCCATCAGTAAAGTATAATATTGTGATGTCATAAGCTTTTTCTAAACACTGAATTTGCCCTTATTCCCTCTCAATCATTTTAAAAGAACTGCTCTCTTTTATAGAGCTTGGATTTAAATCACAATAACACCAAGGGAAGATGAATGACAGTGCTATTGAATGTGGCTAAAATTGGATACTTCAGCACAGGTGAATGATGAGACAGCTCTTCTCTTTTTGATATATTTTCTTCTTCTATTAGTTTCCTTCCAAGGCTGGGATTTTAGTTTGAATTTTAATGTATGCGGCTGCCTTAATCTCACTGTCTTTTTCCCCAGTACTATCTTATTGTATAGACAATTCATTCTCCCAAGCAGTAATGCACTGCTCCTACCGACTGCTGGGGAGGCAGCTGGACAAGGCTGGGAGGCAGGCCAGGGTGGCAAGTGCACTTAGGGGGCTGATCACGAGTGCTCCCACATGCAGCATGCTGGGTCTGTGCACAAAGCCCCAACAGGCTGCTATCACCATCGAGGTCAGTGGAGATCCCAGGTATGAGAGGAGGTCGAGGTAGATGGCTGCTGCTCACATCCCCCTGGAATGGTGGGGGGGAACCCTCCTGAGCAAACCATCCTTCCCTCCACGTGGGGACTCTCTTGACTTCAGCAGAGCCAGTCCTGAGGCCTGCATCCCTGAAGGCCATCTGAAACCTTTAGCCTTCTGTGGGGGAACACTGCTGTGTCCTGGTTCCAACATTAGCAGGCTCTGCTCCTCTGTAATTCAATGTCACAGCTCAGCCCAGTACACAGCTTCTCTTCCTTCCCCAGGGCCACCTCCCATGGACCCCACTGCAGCCACTCATACCTTCTCATTGAGCAGGATGAGCCCCAGCAGAGGCCTGGATACTGACCACTGGTTCCGACAGTCTTCAAAGACAATGGTGTTCATGAGGACAGACATCATCTGGAAGATACAACGCAAGGTACATGGCTCGCCTTGGCTCAGAGCTCCCATGCAGCCCAGGCTTTCATGTGTTCACTTTCTGACTCCGCTTCTTCTTGCTAACAACCATAAAGGTTCTACCTAGACAGACAGTTCTGACTCTGCAAGCATGCACAGCTGCCTTTGGCAACTCTTGGCATAAACCTCCAGTTCTCCAAGGAAGAATTTCTACCAATGGAGGCTTCTGAGGGCAACTTCCGGGCGGGCAGAAGTCAGAGGATTAAGTCCTTGTCTCTCAGTCTTAACAGGCCTTCCAGTATGGGTCCCAGGCAGAGGCCCAGTTCATCTTCCCATCCACCTGTCACTTCACCAAAGAGTCACATGGTGGATGGGCAGCATGTCTTCACACCCCCTCTCAGAGAGGGATGGGATTCTTTTATGTGACCGTGGGAGGTCAATGTCACATTTCCTGGTGTCTCAGGCTGTTGATTGTATCAATCATTCTTTTAATCACTCATTCACTCCCATATGTCCAGAATCAACCATTCTCTTGGAAAATGGGGAGATAGGAGATATTAGGTATCTGCCACAAATTCTGCCCTTAAAGAGCAGATCCTGGGGGAGACCACCCTAAAGAGAAGTGACAAGGACCAGGCAGGGCTGGACAAAGTGCTGTGGGCATGCAGAAGAGAGGGATGTCTCCGAGAAGGCAGTGCTTATGCAGGACAACATGAAGGTGCTCTAAGCAGAGCACGGGGTTGGGGATGAACAGGAGTAGGTCCTGCAAGGGGAAGAGCTCAGTGTGTAGGACAGTGGAGAGCGGGGCCAGAAGTGAGACCATGGGACCAGGCTGGAACAGCACACAGGTCACTCTGTGCTATCAGCAGCAGGAGTCAGTGATGTTTGGGAAGTCTGGAAAGGCATGCTCAGACTGGCATTTAAGGAAGAGCCCTATGGGCACATGGAGATGTAGCTGAAGGAGAAAGGCCAGGGAGAGGCTGCTACAACTGCCTCCATACATGTTGGAAAGGAGCTAAGGTGAAAGTTTCTGGTTCTTGGTTTATATTCTCCTTGAAAATCTGTATAGATAGCATTCAAGGGTGATACCTTGTTGGCTTTTAAAAATATATTTATTCTTACTGGAAAGGTAGATTTACAGAGCGAAGGAGAGACAAAGAGAAAGATCTTTCATCTGCTGGTTCACTCCCTAAGTGGCTGCAACAGCTGGAGCTGAACCAATCCAAAACCAGGAGCCAGGAGCTTCTTCTGGGTATCCCGTGTGGGTGTAGGGTCCCAAGGCTTTGGGCCGTCCTCGACTGCTTTCCTAGGCCACAAGCAGGGAGCTGGATGGGGCAGTGGAGCAGCCAGGATAAGAGATGGCACCTATATGGTATCCTGGCGGTTGCAAGGCGAAGACTTCAGCTGCTAGGCTTTCGTGCCGGTCCCACTTTGTTGGTTTTGACTGGATTGTCACATAAACGTTTTAACGATGAATTTTGAGTTTATATTATTTATTGTTTCATGTATTGTTTGTAGTGTTTATTATTTCACAAAATCAATTTTATCTATAAATATTTTTGTGCCCTCCCCTTTTTTGTTTGCATTGGGGATTGTAAAGGAAAACAAAATATTTTATTATGGTTTTTGCTTCAGTCATTTTAGGGCAAATTAGAAAGTCCTAAATTGCGGTGAAGAAAATGTATTTATTTGAGAGAGGGAGAGAGAAAGAAGCCATCTGATGGTTCTCTTCCCAAATACTACAACAGCTGTGAGGCAGGACCTCAATCCAGGTCTTTTGTTTGCTTGGTAGGGACCCAGCAGCTAAGCTATCATGTGCTGCTCCCCAGAGTGAACGGCAGCAGGAAGCTGGAGCCAGGAGCGGAGCTAGGAGTGAGGCCAGGAGCAGGGCCAGGAGCGGGGCCAGGAGCAGAGCCAGTACGTGAACCCAGCCAATGATACAGGATGTGACCATCCCCTCTGGTGTCAGCCATTAGGCTGAACGGCCACCTCTGCTTCTTGGGACTTCTTAATTGCTCACCTGTAGCCCTTCTGCCCGCACAGCTCCATAGCTCCTTTCCGCAGAGAAGGGCTGGGGACATGACAGTGATGTGACAAAGATGATCACCCCTGACGCACGCACACCCGCCCTGACTGGGAGTCTGGTGACCCGGCTTGCTTTGGAATATATTTAGTCTTATCCTCTGGCATTTTTCTGAAATCCAATTTGCCCTGTGATCTCAAGGCAACTTACTGAAACTGTGTGTGTCTCGGTTTCATTAGCTAGAAAGAGGGGAATAATAATCCAGCACAAGGAAAGCTGTGTGAATCAAAGGAAGTGCGGCAAAGAATGAAATGCGCTCTAGACATTTAAGGTATGTGGTAACAACAGCAACGAGCTGCTCTGCAGCCCCAAGCAGCTGCCATTCTGTGGATCGCCATCGTCATCACCATTAGGCAGGCTGCACAGGGAACCTGCCTGCTCCATCTTCCCCGTGTGTCCAGTCTCTCAGGGAAGGGGCTAGGTCTTCAGCCTGGCATGTGGAACACCATTTGTGGATCCATGTCGCTTCCACCTTCCATCTACCAAGCCACCCAAAGCCATCGAGCCACAAATTAAATTGACAAGCACAAGTAACAGATCCAGGGAGACAGTCTAAAATATTATGGGTTTCACGAGCTGAAGGCAGAATGGATATTTTAATGGAAAAGATTAAAGTTAGAGGCACCAAATTCCTCCAGTAACTGACAAAGCATCCTGAAGTGATGTGCCAATTACTTTATACGGTTCTCCTGTGTATTCATTTGTCTGAATGCATGTATTTATGTCTGTAATAAGTAAGGGGATGTTTGAATAAAATACTTTTCTAAAAATAAAGTTGGCTAAAATGGATGATTTTTTTTTTCCATTTTTACCCTTCTGGAAAGATAAAAAGTGGGGAGCAATCTGCTGCAATGGCATTGACATGGCATCCTGGTTTCCAGAAAGATCTGTTCTAATAATCCTAGAGTAGGATATGGGAGAAAACAGCCCAGCTTTCAGAGCAGATTCCTTAGAAGGGCCCCCTCTCCCCACCAAGGAGAATACTGCATGCCATGTTTAAGTCCAGAACCCCTTCCCAGGTAATGTGGACTCTCTGGTGTGAGCTCTAATGGTTAACACACAATAAATGAACCCTGGAAGGTGAGAGCTCTTGACAGCTCTCTGCTGCATCACAGGTACCAATGGCACTTTCTGAGGATGGCTGCCTGGGCTGGGGCTCTACCTCCTGCAACACTGCATCGTGGATGGTTGAAAGGGCACTTCCACTCTGCTCCGCCGGGGCTCAGTTTACTAGGGCCTGTTGCTGGCCACATGTGTTTCCTCCTGCATTATTACCCTTAGTAGCTGTTCTGCCAAAGCAGAGGGGGGTGGCCTGGGAAATGGTGTGACTGGGGAAAGCCATTTCCCATACTCTCCTCAGGTGTCACCTCCCATTCCTTCTTCCCACAGGCCCTGTGGGACTCTGCGGGACTTTGTCTTAAGGAAGAGAAACCAACTCGGTGTGCTAGGTCTAGGCTTTGGAGCCAGGCAGAATGGAGCCCAGCTTTGGCCCTGCCACTCAAGTTGCATCAGTGGGCCAGTCATGTCAGTTCTCTGAGCCTTTATTTCCTTACACTGAAAAAGATGGGATCATGACACCTACCTGGGAGGACTGTGTGAGGAATGACTCCCCCTTCATACATCAAACAGTTTATACCGTATCTGCCACACAGTAAAATTCAACATAATGTTCCATGATTACAACTGTGGCTGCCTTTCCTGGATTAACCCAATGGGATTATGTGACTGCAGGAAGTATACCGGCTCCTGTCCTCATTAGAATCAGACCAATGAGATTACAGTTGCCTCACAATGATCACTGAGAGCTGCAATCAACAAAATAATCTAAAATGAAAAGTGCAGAAAACATGCTTATTTTTCTAATACATGTATTATTAGGAAGGATTTTGAATGAGTATTTCTTTGTCCTGAAGATTTGTAATCTTCTAAATAAAGCAAAATACCATCCCCTCCCCCGAAAGAGTAAGGCAATATTATATATTTCCCTGTTCACTCTGCAGCTCTTCTATTCTACCCTTCATGGGACAGAAAGCATGAGCACGAAGCAAAGGGACCCACTCTCTCTCACACACACACACACACACACACACACACTGGTCCCACTTTCTCTCTGGCAAGGGGGCAACTTAAGGCTCTTACTTCAAGTGCTTCCTATTTTCCCACCCGCTAGAGCAGACAAGCCAAGACACAGTTTAGGCTGGATACTACACAGACTGGAGAGCAGGTACTTGCACTAAGTGAGATGGGTGTCCAGTGGATCTAGGGACTGGGTAGAGCAGGATGCCTGGTGAGCTCCGAGTAGAGGCTGAGGGAGCAGAGGCTGCCAGACTGATAACAGCCCACTGGGAGGAGTACAGGACAATGAAGGAAATGAGAATGGGCTGATGAGACAGCTCAGAGCCGTGTGTGGCACCAGGACTGCCTGTGGGACTCCTTGTCACTGTGTCCCTTGTGCCTGGAAGACATCTGGCACCTTTCAGAGGCCTGAGAAACAACTGCTGAATGAAAGAAGGAACACATAAAGAACTCTGTGTATGAATGGAAAGGAATGAATGAAGTATCAAGAATTAAGGAATAAGGAGCCAAAGACCTGTTCAGAAAACAGACGTTCTGGCCTCATTCCAAGGCAAAACTTGAAATGACTAAACATCTGAACTAAGACACTGCTCGTTTTCCAAGATCGGACTTTTTACATCTGGAATCTGAGAGCCTTTCTAATCTACTGTTGTACTAATAGCCAGGAGCTCCTAGGGACAATCCTCCTGAGGGGCTTCCAGGTTACCCACGCTGAAGGCCGGGGCACCAGCTCCTAATGACAAGTACTTTCATCCAAAGAGCAAGCTGTGCCTGAGGAGTTCTGTCAGCACCCAGCATTAATAACAGCTTTCATTTCTGGAGTCTTCTAGGTGTTCAGCCTTTG